CGGTTTGACTGTAATTTAAAGATATAAAACCCAATTTTAAACCCAATTTGTGTTACATCTTTAGTAACAACTTCATTTAAACACATTAGCACCGTTTTTTTTTTGTTTTATTCCATTTGAGATTTAAGGCCAATAAGACCTCATTTACATGCCTGCATGCGGTGCAGGTAGTAATGGCATGATCTGTATATGCACTGCATTTTTGGCACATTTCCAATGTTTTGAGATCACTCTGGTGAGGGCAGAATTTGCACCTGTGTTTTGGGTGATGGGCCAGGAGGGGCTGCTGGGTGAGGGGGAGCTGCTCCAAAAAGATACCTACTATTTTAACTAGTGGACATCGAGGCACTTACTCCTTTACTTGTAAACTGTACAGGGCTTTACTAGTAAACTAGTAAGGTGAAAACTGCCCCCCTATGTGACTAATTGACATTTTAGCTACTACTAGTTAACTAGTAAACATTTCCGAGCCTATGGCAAGCCCTTTTAACATTAAATCATTAAGAAATTGCAGATATCAAAAATTGCTTTTTGACATGTTAGAATTCCAAGCCGACATATCCACAATGTCATTTTCAACTCAATTCTCACTAATAATGTTCATTCTTGATATCAAAAATTAAATTATTTGAATGACAAAGTTCATTTATGATATCTACAATTGTTCTTACATTACAAATATCACAAAGTAATTCTAGATATCTAAAATGCAATTTTTACTAGTTGAAATTACATTATTGATATGTTGAAATGTAATTTCCAATCGTGAAAACTAAATTGCCACTTGACAGCCAGACTCATTTAATGTTAAAGACTGGCCATACCGAGCCTCACTAGTTAACTAGTAGACATTTTGCACCTTACTAGTTAACATGAAGACTTTTTGCTGTCTACTAGTTTACTAGTAAATCTTTCAACTCTCTACTCTTAAATTAATGCAGTCAAAGACCTCACTAGTGCCGGAAACTGAGTTTTTTGTTGTTGTTGTCATAACTATTGCTTGACCTAGACATCAACATCCAAGATCAAAGATGTTTTGGAAAGCAGTATGGTGTGATCATTTCCAATGCACCACTTTATGCTGTGGGGTCATTCTGACCCCAGAGGACAACAGACGTTAGTAAATTCAATAAAAAACCCATAATTCAATCAAATTGCCTCAAATTTACTGTAATCATGAAGAGCATAGTACTGAACAACCCCCATTATTTCCAGACCATTTGATGAATAAAAACATATTTGGTGGCAAAAGATTGAACTTGGGTTAAGATTGACCCCAGGACAACAGGAAAGTGAACAGCTTATTGGCGTCAAGGTAACTCGCTGTTGTCTATTACTTATCTACGTGTCTGTTTTCTGTGGGAATGGTCTTGCTTTAATGCACTCATCTTAGTATCACCAGCCAGCTCTTTATCCTCCGATTGTTCTTCTTACATGTGCGTTTTTGTTTGGCAGAAATGGCTCTTTGACTCCAGCCAAAACATTGCCAAATCCCATCATGGCTGTCTGTCTCGTCTTTCTACTCAGCAGTCTTGGCCTTGCTATTACTGCTCAAGGTGAGTGGCAGTGGGGATAAGCTGGAGACACCAACGTGATTATAAACAAGCTCCTGTTTGGTCTTTTACTATCTTGTCATCCCCTCAAGAGTTCATCTTTCCCCGTCTTCATTTATCATTACAGCTCAAGACTGTCCCAAGCCTGTTCCAGGACCCAACATGAATTTAAAGGGCAATGACATAGTTTTGCAAGAATTCCCAGATGGGACCAAAGTGACTTTTACCTGTGAAGTTGGCTACCAGTCTGGAGGGTCTGGAGGGTCTGGAGTCAGTACTTGTTCTGCTGGGAATTGGAGTCTTGTGATGCTGCAATGCGAGAGTGAATATGAACAATTTCTGTTATTGTTTCTCTGGGCAGAGCACTTTTATAAATAACATAAAATATATAGTTTTTTTTTAGATAAGTTAATGATCATTTTCTGACCAGGCTGTTGACATGTCTCATTTCAGGGAAAAACTGTGGTGCACTTGAAGCTGTAATAAATGGTGACATAACTTACCCTACGTCAACCCTGTTTGGTGATACAGCGGTGGTAACTTGCAACGCTGGGTTAGTAACAAACTGATAACTCACTTTTTGTGGGCGGCAGTAGCTCAGTCTGTAGGGACTTGTGTTGGGAACCGGAGGGTTGCCGGTTCAAGTCCCTGTGCGGACCAAATATGGAAGTTGGTCTGGTTGCTGGAGAGGTGCCAGATCACTTCCTGAGCATTGCCGAAGTGCCCTTGAGCAAGGCACCAAACCCCCTCCCCACCATCAGCTCAGGAGCGCCTGCTGTGGGCAGCTCCGTCACTCTGACATCTCTCCATTAGTGCATGTCTACAGGATCCTGTTTGTGCATGTGTATATTTTAGCCTATGTGTGTGTTGCAGAGTGTAAAAACAGAAATTTCCCCTTGCGGGGATCAATAAAGTAAATCTTAATCTTGATTTTTATCCACTGTTTGCCAACATTACAACTTATTCCAATCGAAGTGATTGTTGTGTCAAAAGTGATATTTTAATTTTTGATTCCCTAATTAGATACAGACGGGTTGGTCGAGAGACAATCCGCTGTGGAGACGCAGGTTGGTTGGACAGGTTGCCTGAATGTGAAGGTTAGTCATTTCTTTGTTAATACGAGGCTCATGACTTAAGAATAATTGAAGTGATTATTTCAGCTTAAACCCATGTACCTTTCATTGTGCAGTGTCTAAGTGTGGTCCACCACCTGCGATAGCTGATGGCACATTCTATCCAGAAAAAGAAGAGTATGAATACAGCGAAGTTGTGCGTTACACCTGTCAGAAGGATTTAACTCTCAATGGATCCAAATCAGTCTCCTGTTCAGAAGATGGAACATTTACACCTGCAGCTCCAACATGTATAAGTAAGACTTTGAAATGTTCTCCAACCTTTCCGAACACCAAAGTCATCTTAGCCGTGGTTGACAGGCTCACATATGGCGATTGACTTTATGTTTGTATTCCCCTGCAGATGTTCAATGTGAAGCCCCAAATATCGACAATGCCGACTTTACTTCAGGTTCTCGGTATCCTCACAAATACAAAGCTACAGTGACTCATCAGTGCAGAACTGGATATAGGATGATAGGACAAAGTACCTCTGTATGTGAAATAGATGGCCAGTGGTCACCTAAACTTCTGGAATGTAAACGTAAGCCAAATAATTATTATTTTCTGATTTCAGCTTCATAAATGAAAAACCACCTGCTGTGTGTTAACATGATTTTTGGACTGATCCAGATGTCATCATGTCCTCACAAATGTCTATTTTTTTCTTCCTCATGAGTTCAAATAGATTTAAAAAGTTAGGATGTGGCAATAGCATTTTTTCTCACACCAAATTCCCAAGTTATTTACTTTTCTCACATTTATTTTTAAGTATAGTTAAGCTGATATATTCTTTCCTCAAACTTGTAACTTGTTAAGTCTACTGTGTGGCAAATAATTACTTTCCAAATGTTCAAATTTGGCTTTTACAATCTGTGTATCATGGCTTTTTTTTATTCAGTGCAAGTGCAAATATTTGAGGAAAGAAGCCCCTCCCCCTCAACATCCTTTAATCTTTATATTTTCATTCCATCCTTATGCTTCCCACAAAGTGATCAGTCCAGTCCGTTCTGTTTAAAGCATGCAAACTACAAGTCCTGAACAGAAAAGAGCAGAGCAGCATGCACCGGTGATAGAAACTGCAAATGTGAACTCAAGCTTACACTACCTGCACTACGGGGAATTGGAGCTCTGTGACGTTGAGATGCAAGAGTGAATATTTGCGCTTTCTATTACCTTTCACCTTTATAACTGCCGGTCAGTAAAAAGTCCACGATTCAGACTGATGTCCACAACAAGCTTTAATCTTCACAGAAGATACATCATGGAGACACCGTGAAAACTAGAACAGACAAGACAGTTTTTAGCCTTAAGCTAAAATCACTTCATATGTCAAAGGTAAATTAAACATTACAACGTAAAACAATATTTACCGTGTTCGCCTGCTGACCAACGGTTAGAAATGAAAAGGAACGGGATAGAAAAGTTCTCGGCAGAACCCGCGTGTTCTCTCTCTCTCTCTCTCTCGCTGCTGCACGTAGTCTATCTGTCATGTGTTGCTATGGCAACCTATTCAACTTAAACAGCGCCAGCTACAACCTTTATGGACCCCTCAAGTTAAAAATGTCTTACCTGCAGATTAAAGCTCTTTTAGGTTAGGGACTGATATTTTTTAATGGCCAGTATGTGCGCATGAAATGATATGAAATTCTACAGTTTTCATATTAACATTTTTAAAAATCAATCTGGATGCATCCTATATGTCTGTTACACTAACAATGTTATCTTTTACGTTTTGCAGAATTGCCCACCCCAACTACGACAGACAAGCCAGATGGAAATAAAGGTGATGGTGATGGAGGGACAGGTAGAGTTCATGTTAACATTTCAGTACAGTGTGTTTTTAACAATATCAGTTCTTCAGTATATTTAAGCTCAAACTGCTGCCATTAAGACGACAACTGAATGATCCAAGTGACTTTCTATTAGTAGAGGTATAGAGCAGTCATTTTATTTTCTGGCCGTATTTCATTTGTTAGGTTTGGTATTATCTTAATAATAATAATAATAATAGTAATAAGTTTATTTGTGTAGCACTTTTTCAAGACAAGGATTTACAAAGACATAATTACGTGTAAAAAAAAAAAAAAAAAGTAACTGGATGGTCGCCAGTTCGAAATAAAATAAATAAAAGTACTGCACTTTAAATCGTCTGTGTGGGAAACACTGCTCTTATGATTGTCCACTTTTACCAGCCTCACATACCTACTCTGTTCTTTTTTTTATTTTGCAGACAACGGTGGAAGCAGCACTGGTGAAACTGTGGGGATTATTATTGGATGTGGTAAGTTTCAACTTAATCCTTGAACAGCAGATAAAGTATATTATGCATCATGTTTTTGTCTATGTGAAACTCTGTTGTTGGATTGTCTTCATGCTGTTAAAGGCTGAGGTTTATTAATGAGATACATTTTGCCATGGAAGGTTCATTTTGTATAAACTTATATACTAACAGAGTTTTGTTCAAGAATAAAGTATTCCAATGACCACTTTTGTCAAGAAGGTTTTAAGCATTTAAATGGTGCTACATTTGTTGGCCTCACATCCCTATTTCTTTATTTTTACATCATCTCCATTTTTTGCAGTTGCAGGTCTCTTCCTGGTCGTTCTTGCAATCTATTATTTCAAGAAAAAGAAAAAGGCAGGGTAAAATGTAGTTTTATCTAACTCTGCAGACTAACCTCTGAGCTTTGCTGGATCCCTCTGTGGCTTTTTAACTTTTCTTATATGTCTCAGTGCTTTTTCTTCTTTCAGCGTCTTCATCCTGTCCAGCTCTGATTGCTGAGTGTTGTGTGTGTTTAGACTGTGTGCTTTCACAAGGCCTTTGTTCAAGGTTTATTCTCTCTACCAAACAGCGTTAATGTTGTCATCATTGTAACGTATCAGTAGGGCATCATTGTGATGAGAGCACAGGTATCTTGCACTAAGTGCAGATGCACAGTCCTGTCAGTTTCCATGAGTGTCACAAACTAACATGACCAAAAAGGAAGTACTTGTGCTCGTCAAATAGACGCACAGAAAAGACTTCATGCTTCTCATACACTCCCATGTCTAAAGTCCAGAACCAACAGGAACACACTGCGACAGAAGCTTTTGGTATTTAAGTGTACATTGCAGACTTGTTCCGAGGCACAGGACAATCTTACGTTTCCGTTATTTAAAACATTTTCTATTTTAATCATTGAAAGAGGAAGTGGCTACGGGTGTGACACATTTCTCCAGAAATCTTTCTCTTTTTTTTTTAAAGGTGGGGTTATTTGTGTGTAATGCTTCACTTTTTGTTTAGGAGAGCGTCTTCTGAACTAGATGAACTTCTGCAAGAGGCAAATTGTTTGCAACATAAAGGCCTTGTGTGAAGTATTCTGTTGCTTTTGGGTGAAGCGGGTGTTTTCCTCCTCTTCCTGTAGCTCCTCTTGCTTCCTGTCTGCCTGATCGATCCGTGGTTAGCATTAATATTGATGAGTGGTTTTTGGATTGCAGCTTTCAGAAAGGCACTGCTGAAAATGAGACTACAGGTGACGGAAACTCTGTGGAGCTCCAGAGTGGGTAAGAAGACGGACCACTGAGCACATTCAAACTCTTTCATGCCCAGTGACTTAACACTGCTGTGTGACAATGTCTTTAAATGTTCACTCTGTACAGACATGATGAATTCTTATCATTCTTAATTGATCATTTTTTTTTCCCTCTTTCATGGTTGCCTGCAATCCTTTGCAACCTGCTGGGCAACTTTCTGCAATCTTTCAGTGGGATTTTAGATTTTCTTTCAACATGTCTTAACTTTTATCACTTTTCTTTTTCTCCTTTCTTTTTTCTGTAGTAAGCACAGCGCTGCTGTTGGTACAACATTACTGAATGAGAAAACGTCTGATTAAGAAGAGGATCGTCACTGGACTAGTCATCGAATGTATTTGTGCCGTCCATGTCCATGTTGATTGCGCAGGCTCATTGAAAGTGTTTCCGCAGAAAGTCTGAGATTATGAATTCTCAGCAGAACAAGCTCAAGCCTTAGCAAATGCTCGAGGGGGGCTTCTCTGATCTTTTACATTTTAGCACGTCGCTCAAAACGCCTTAGTTTTAGTCTTGTATATTTCAATAGAGCGATGCCTTGTAAGCTCTCTACATCATCATAACAGTTTTTCATTGTCAGTAATTATGAAGGAGTGAGGACCTCATGGCCCGGTTGTTCAAAAGTTATCTGTTTGGACCAGAACTTGAAATCGGGTTGTCCAAAGGTTATTAGATAAGATCAAGTGATCAAATCCTGTCTTTTTATCCGGATCAAACCCCGAGCTTGAGTTCTTCAAAACTCTGAAGAAGGATCAAGATTACTTTTGATCACATAAAATCTGTATTATCCTGATTCCAGCAGAGGTCTAAAAAAACCATAACATTTGTCAAACAACACAATGTTCTTAGAGGGGAGTGGATATTTGAAGACATTATTGAAACTATAAAAGTATATCCAGAACAGCTTGATCCAATACTGTTTTCCTTTGAGGAAAAAACTGGACAAACCTGAGTTAGTTCTGGAAAAATGGATTTCCAAGCCCAGCTCATTTTAATCTGGATTGAACCTTTTGATCAACCGGGCCCAATATTATTAAAGAGACATATACTTGCACTAAAGCACGCAGATCAGCTCAGCTTTGCCAATACTGCACATTTACATGATGACTTAAAAGAAGAAAAATCTGAAAAGAATTGCAATACAGCTGGCTTGAAGCCGATCAATCCTCTAGTCTTATACATACAGAGATAACAGATGAGCACTGTGCCTGAGCATAAGGGATGTTCAACACGCCTTAATGAAGAAACTGTGTAAATTGTCCCGACAGTTCTTGTGGTAATAGAGGCTTTAATGTTAGCCTACTTTAGTTTTTTTTGCAGAAGAGTTAGTGTTGTCAAATACCAGGACTTCATGTTTGTGCCCTGTAGATTCACTTGATTACGTTTTCACTGGGAGAAAAAAATCAAAGGTTGTTGTGTTTCATTGTTCCAAATTAGATGTGTTTGTATTCCAGAGTTTCAGTTTCAGAAAAAAGTGGAGGGATATTTAAAGTGTTGTTTTGTGTCTGTATTTACATAATGTTGTTCAGAAAAAGATCTCGGACATGTTTGCACTCGCCCGGCTTTTAATCTTTATTTATTATTAAACTTAAGTTTGAATTAGAAAATCTCATTGAACAGTTTTTGTATTGTTTAGAGGCAGGGGAAAAAAAACTCCTGGCTCTACAAAAATATTGGCTCTACTTTTTGTAATCGATTAATGAAATAAAACAAAACCAAAATAACGCCTGATCAGTTCATAATGTTCTCTTATGACTTCAGCCTCTTCAACCAAGGTGTAGGGTTTATTTGAGTTCGCAGTGGAGCTTGAAAAGTTTAGATACATTAAAGGAAGAATGTACAACTTTGATCCAGCAGGTGTCGCCCTTGAGCACCAGCATGAAACCAAAACAAACTATATGGCCACACTGAATCCTCCACTCTCCTACAGCGACACACCTCCAACCCCTCTCCCGTTGCGAACACACCATAATTAAGCACTTAGAGTAAGCAGTGCACAAAATGATCCTCATCTCAAACTGCATTGTTGTGTTAACATGCTAATGGTTAGCTCGAAGCTTCACAGTGCATGTAAATTTAAACGGAATAACCATGATCTAAAAATGCTTATGTGATGTTCAAATAAGCAGTGAGTACACTAAGTTGTTCTGTTCTGTAGTCCTTGACTTAAACAGCTTTTATAAACAACGGGAGGAGCTGGCTGGCCGTCCCGTCGTGTAAACTCGATGTAAAGACGGCTCACTTAGACTGTCATGACTCACAGAGATATTTACAGAGGATATACTTTATTTAGGTGTTAAATGTCACACATTCTTCCTTTAATGGATGTTTATCAAGTCCTTTATGTTATTTCTCTCCTGTATTTAGTATTTATACAGTTTACTAAAAGGCCCAACTAATGAAAGGAGATGGAACTGAGCAAGAAATATGAACTCTGTGCAACACACCAGTTAAATTTCATTGTCCCTATTAAATTCAATAATCTTCAATAATTTGATTGAAATGCAACACATATTTTACATCCAGAGTTTTAATGCGTGTTATTCATAAATACTTTATCCACACTTCATACAAAGTGTATAGCTACACAGGAATAATGTATAGTATCATATATTATAGTATTACTTTTATATACTTATAAACATGTTTGAACTTTCACCACTGAGTACGAAGAGTATGAGAGGATACATCTGATACCAAAGGCTACAGTGCCACCTTGTGGATTTGACACAAAACTACAAAATGGTTCAAATGATCTCTTAATAAGTTAGCAGACAATCCAGTGATGGAATCTCACAAACCCAATTTACTCAAGAGTTATACCCACAGTGAGTACAACTTACAGGCATCTGTGCTTACCTATTTTTTTTCTTTCTTCTGTACAAACATCACTGAATCAATAACAGACATCTTGTACTTTTCTCGGACTACAGTGTTTCATTACTTTGCAGAATAACATTTCCGTAACAGAGACATAAAAAAGCTCTAAAGCTTCATACAATATTATGCACTTTTACTTTAAGTGTTTTAGTCGTTGCATTATTACTTTCACTTACATACAGAATTTCACTCATTCTTCCTCCACTGCTGCAGACATCAGTCAGGAATGTTATAAGCTCCTGTCAAACATGCACTGCACTCCGGAACATTGTACAAAACTCTCCAGGAGGGGTGCACATGTCAACGCAAAAGACTGAATCTTTTCTTTTCCTGCCAGACCCTCGGTAAGAAGTCCACATGCAGGTAATAGTCTGGGTGTGGGCGGGCAGATGAATCAGAATCAGAAATACTTCATGAATCTCCGGGGGGACATTTAGATGTTACAATTGCTCCTTTATGGCATAGAAACAAAGATGTAAGAGATTCACTTTGGGAAGTTTTGCTGTAATATACTCTTTACTGACTGCCTCCGTTGTCGAGGAAATTTCAGGATCTTGGAAAAGACATTTCACCGCAGTAAATCCAAATACATTCAAATAAAAAGCAACAACTTTCCTGGAGAGTCCTCCTTAGGGTAAGATGAGAACTGTCCTTCACTGTAACCGATTTCAAATGGTGCTAGAAAGAGAAACAGACTCTGAACACCAAAAGAAATCAGTCAACCTTGGAAATAGGACAAAGAGCTTGAGCTGTCCGAACAGGCAGGTGGTTTGTGGCCCACTGAGTGATGCCTCAGGGAGTGATTCCCTCCAGTTGAAGCCGTCTCTTACGTTCACGTCTCCCTCTCGGTTCACCCCACAGCTGCTCGCCGCTGAAATACACTTCCCACCCCAAGAACACTGATTTCAAATGGTGCTAGATCGATGTCAATACTCTAAGCCACCATCTGAGACCAGCTTCCAAGGGGGGAACTTCTGACAAAAGGCATTCTTCCCTGACTTGAAACACATTCAAACTATAAAAAAAAGAGAGAATGGGAGACAACAATATTAATACCAGGAAGTAGTTAAAAACAAGTTCAAGGAATTTTAATGTTTACCACAAGAAAACAGATGAAAGTGATCATCTCGTAGATGTGGTTTGACCTACACTTCCTGTACGACTTTTTCAAAAGCTTTACAGTTAAAATGATTGACAGAGAAAGAATTTGAGAGAAGATTATAGTTGTTAAGATGCTGTAATACACAGCGAGATGTCAACATGAGCCATGATTAGTACAGAAACTATGGAAGATATTGTCAACGTGAAAAAGGTATTCATATTATGGCAATGTATTGGTATTACACAATACAGGGGTTATGATTCAATAAACTGTCGTACTGTAATCAGGACAAGATATTGCCATTTTTTAGAATTTAGCGTAAACATTACACTATCAATGAGTTAAAATTAAAAAAAAAGTTTGTTTATATTTGCAGCCAGATCAGAGGTCTCTGTATTGTTTTTTATCAGAGCACTTCTTTTTGATCAATCTCAGCAAAGCGATTACTACATGCCTATATCATGGTTACAATTAAATGATGAGAAAAGTACATTTTACGTTTACGTGACGTAACGTGTATGTTTATGGGAACTTTTACAGCATTAAAAACATAACTCACAATATTTAATATTGTGTAACAATACTTTACTACACCCCAAAACTGAAGACTTCAAAACTTGCACAGTATTGGTTTTAATATTCTTATTGTTGAAATTTTTATTTTCAGGGCTTACAAATGTGGAAAATAAGCAGAAATTGTTTCTCTGACCTATAGTAACAAAGCATTTCTTCTTAAGTGACATCATCATTTTGATACTGATTATAAGTACAGTATAGTTTTTGTATATAGTATAGTAAAGGTTTTGAACTCGTGCTTTTCATCGACCTATGAAACAGTTAGCAGAGTGCTAATAGATGTGGCTTATCGACACATTGCCTTGGTGAAGCAGGCCAGGTAGCTTTATAGACGTATGACGTTTACAGCAGCAAATTGTGCTGAATGTAGGAACAAACAGCAGCGAAGAGCTTTAAGAAATGACTGCAGAATCTGTGTTTCTTGTACGCAAAATTAGTACAGCTACTCAAATACGTGTTTTCTCAAATACGTTTTCAAGGAACGAGCTAACTCTAAAATATATTCTGGCCATTTATATAAAAGTTTGAGCAAGATAAATGTAATAAAAAAACAGGAACCTAAAGTGTTCAGAGTAATCGTCTTCTATTATTTATCAGGTTTCCCTTTCATGTCTTATGAAATGGATTCAACCAACTTTTCCTTCTGGGACAGTAGAGTCAATAAGATGTACTACTACTGCATGCTCCGTTTACTAACGTGAATTATGTATTAAGCAAACACCCACAAACTGATGGCATGAATATGAATCACATGTATGGCACTAGTATTAGCAGTGGGAAACGTGTGTGATTCAGAAATGGTCTCCCCACATCTGTGTTTCATGCTGCTCATTGACACAGGATAAAAAAAAAAAAGGTCTGACCTGTCCTCAAATGTACTCAGCTGTCCTGGGATACTGGACTGGGATACTGGACTGGGATAGTCACTGGATATGCTAACATCGGTCGATGTTATCGGCCAGCCGAGCAATCAGTCGGGCTCTACGTGCAAATAACTCTTTTCTAAACAGTTCTGTGTTGGTCTCTTTTACGCTGATGCATGGAAGCAATTAGTTTTGTGCACAGTCAGCTTTAAATATAGCCCGTCTACTTTGTTTCTGACTGTATCAAGATGATGATCCAGTGAAGCCTGACAGCATCTTGGAGGCTGTTAAGAGAGCTCAAATGTAATGCACTCTGGCGTAGCTCAGGCTCAAGCTCGCCGCCCAGAAAGAAGTTTTATTCGCTGCCCTGTTTCAGGCCAAAAAAACGGCTGCAGATGAAGGGCGAGTGAGAGAGAAAGATGAAATGGAAAACCACGGGGAAAGCACCAGAACACATCTCTCTCTCTCTCTCCCTCAGTCTGTCTCAATCTATTATTTCTCTCTAACACACCCACACGGCTGATCTGATACTTGATCCGAGCTTTGCAGATGTGTGAAGTGCCACACGGGAACAGACACACAAAACAGTGCCATAGTGTGTGTTCCAGGCTCAGCTGCAGCTCTATGCAGACGATTCCACGATAAGTCCTTTTTAGCAGAATGGTGACACGGACGATCACTACGACAGGAAAAGCAAGGAAGTGGCAGCCAATCGCAGTCAAAGCCATGACGCAGTTATAAAACAGTGAGAGGGTGGGGCAGGGACAGGTAGTGGCCAGTTCACTGACTTGTTGCCAAGTGCTTCAACAAAGTACAAACCTCTCCAACCGTTATTAAAAAAAATTAATGTCTTAACTCTTTGCAAGCAAGCATGTGAAAGTGACCGCTGAAAAATTGACTCACTTTAAATCTACCTTTCGCTCCACACACACAACACACACTGCTTCCATTTCTTTTGTTTACAATGACAACTCCCTCAAACATTACTGCTCTCGAAGTTGATTAAAGCCAAATCAGAGGAACTGTCTCCTCAGCCTTAAAACATCAGACGCGATTGACTTAGATATCCACAGTAAGAGGAAGGATAAAATCCCCACAGTCTTTACAAGTCCTTATCAGGCTTCAGATGCACCAGGCTAAGCCATTTTTTTTTCAGTCTGGGCTGTTTGTGTGTGTGTGTGCTCGAGGCTTTGTTTGTGTGTGCATGTGAGTGTTTTTGCTCTGTAGTCACAGTGACGGCTCTGATCAGAGGGCCTGTCTGTCCGTAGGTGTCTGGTTCCTCCGCCTGGCTGGCTCAACCCAA